AGAGCTTGTTTCCTCTTTCTGCTCTCAGTCACGTGAGGACACAGTAAGTCAGCAGTCTGCGCCAGACCTGACCACGTTGGTGTCCTGACCTTGGATTTGCAGCCTCCAGAACTGTGAAATACATTTCTGTTGTTTCTAAGCCACCCAGTCTATGGTGTCCCATTACAGCAGCCCAAACTAGCTCTGGCAATATTAAATGATTAAACATGCCTTGTAAAAGTCAACGAGTTGTATCAAAAGTGTAAGTGACGAGAGAAAAAACAGATAAACTGGACTCTATCAAAATAAAAGCTTTTGTGCTGCAAATGACACCATCAAGAAGGTGAAAAGACCACCCAGAGAATGGGAAAACATATTTACAAATTGCAATCAGACCTATAGGTACAGAGAATGGACTGGCCAGAGGGGGATGGGCCAAGTGGGTGAAGGGGAGTCGGAGATTCAGGCCTCCAGCTATGGAGTAAGTCACAGGAACAAAAGGTACAGCATTGGGAGTACAGTCGGTGGTACCGTAATGGTATTGGGTGGTGACAGACGGCAGTGGTGAGCACAGCATCATGTACAAAGCAGTTGAACCACTGCATTGTATACCTGAAATTAACGTACCGCTGTGTCAACTGTACTCAAAAAAAGACTTGCAAATTGCACATCTGATAAGGGACTGGCGTCTAGAATATATAAAGAACTCTGACAACTGAAAACAATAAAAAGATGAGTAACTCAACTAAAAAGTGAACACTATTTGGCCAAAGAAGATAGACAAATGGTTATTATTTTTTTTTAAGATTTTATTTATCTGAGAGAGAGAAGGCACAAGAGCGGGAAGGGTCAGAGGGAGAAGCAGACTCCCTGCTGAGCAGGGAGCCGGATGCGGGACTGGATCCTGGGACTGGATCCTGGGACTCCAGGATCATGACCTGAGCCGAAGGCAGTCGCTTAACCAACTGAGCCACCCAGGTGCCCCTAGACAAATGGTTACCAAACACAGGAAAAGATGCTCAATTTCATTAGCCCTTAGAGAAATGAAAAGCAGAACCACAATGAGATACCAGTTCACACCTACTAGTGTGGCTGTAATAAAAAAGACAGACAGTAACAAGTGCGGGAGAGGAGGTAGATAAATGGGAACCTCATACATCGCTGGTGGAAATGCAAAATGGTGCAGCTGCTGTGCAAAAACAGTTTGTCAGTTGTTCAAACAGCTAAACATCTATGGGGCACCTGGCTGGCTCAGTCAGTAGAGCATGCAACTCGATCTGGGGATCGTGAGTTCGAGCACGTTGGGTGTAAAGACTACTTAAAAATAAAATCTAAAAATAAAAACTAGGGGCGCCTGGGTGGCTCAGTCATTAAGCGTCTGCCTTGGGCTCAGGTCATGATCCCCGGGTCCTGGGATCGAGCCCCTCATCGGGCTCCCTGTTCCGTGGGGAGCCTGCTTCTCCCTTTCCATCTGGCCCTCCCCCTGCTTGTGCTCCCTCTCGCTGTCTCTCTCTCTCTGTCAAATAAATAAAAATCTTTAAAAAAAATAAAAAGAAAAATAAAAGCTAAATATATAACCCAGCAATTCTCATTCTAGATATATACCCAAAAGAAATGAAAACATGTCTACACAGAAAACCTGTACATGAATGTTTATAGCAGCATCGTTCATAATAGCTCGAAGGTGCAAACAACTCAAATGTCCATTAACTGATGAATGGATAAGCAAATGCGATATATCCATTCAGTGAATATTATTTGGCATTAAGGAAGTACTGATATATGCTACAACATGGGTGAACCTTGAAAGCATATGGTAAATGAAAGCAGCTAGACACAAAAGGCTGCATAGTGTAGGATTCCACTGATGTGAAATGTCCAGAATAGGAAAATTCACAGAAACAGAAGGCAGGGGCGCCTGGGTGGCTCAGTCGGTTAAGTGTCTGCCTTCGGCTCAGTCCTGGGATTGAGCCCAGCATTGGGCTCCCTGCTCCGCGGGGAGCCTGCTTCTCCCTCTCCCTGCCTCTCCCCCTGCTTGCGCTCTCTGTCAAATAAATAAATAAAATCTTAAAAGAAAAGAAAAGAAACAGAAGGCAGATTGCTGGTTGTCCAGGGAGGAGAGGGGAGAATAGGAAGTGACTGCTAATACATATGTAGTCTTTTTTTGGGGGTGATGAAATTGTTCTAGAATTAGTGATGGTCGAACAACTGTGAATATACTGACCTTTGTATACTTTAAATGAGTGGATTGTACGGTATGTGAATTATATTACAATAAGGATGTTTAAAAAAAGAAGTGAGAAGTGAACATATTAACATCAATGTCACCAGGAGTCCAAATTCTGGCTTATACAGAATTCCTTTCCTGGAGAGCAGATAATATGCGAAGCCAGCAGTGGTCTCATTTTACTCACAAATTCCTTGCATATCTAGCTGTCAGGTTACTATTCTAAGCAAGTACGAAAGGGGGGGAAAAAAGAAATTCTTTTAATTCTGCAATACAATCTTTAAGATTATGGTTTAGTAAATCATCCGATACAGTATATTCTTCAGGATGTGGCAAAATCTAGAATTTCATGATACTGCTATGTTGACCACTCAATTTAGATTTCTATATTATAAAATATTTGTATTCTTCAGAGAACAGATTGGTGATCGCCATTGTGGGGTAGAGGTGGACCAAATGGGTAAGGTGGTCAAAAGGTACAAACCTCCAGTTATAAGTCCTGGGGATGTAATGTACAGCATGGGGACCACAGTAAACAATACTGTATTATAGATTTGCTATATATATACAATACTGCATTGTATATTGTATTGAAAAGTGCTAAGACAATAATTCTTAAAAGTTCTCATCACAGGGGCACCTGGGTGGCTCAGTCGTTAAGCGTCTGCCTTCAGCTCAGGTCATGATCCCCAGGTCCTGGGATCGAGCCCTGCATCGGGCTCCCTGCTCGGCGGGAAGTCTGCTTCTCCCTCTCCCACTCCCCCTGCTTCTGTTTCCTCTCTTGCTGTGTCTCCTCTGTCAAATAAATAAATAAAATCTTAAAAAAAAGAAAGTTCTCATCACAGGAAAAAATATGGTAACTATACGTGGTGACAGATGTTAACTAAACAATTTTGGTAATCATTTTGCATTATATATATACATACATATCAAATCATTACGTTGTAATGCAAATCGAACTACAATGAGGAGTGCCTGGGCGGCTCAGTCGTTAAGCATCTGCCTTCAGCTCGGGTCATGATCCCAGGGTCCTGGGATTGAGCCCGGCGTCGGGCTCCCTGCTCCGTGGGAAGCCTGCTTCTCCCTCTCCCACTCCCCCTGCTTGTGTTCCTTCTCTCGCTGTGTGTCTCTCTGTCAAATAAATAAATAAAATCTTAAAGAAAAAAATAATAAACTACAATGAGATATCATCTCAGACCTGTCAGAATGGCTAAAATCTACAACACAAAGAAACAACAGGTGTGGGTGAGGATGTGGAGAAAGGGGAACCCTCTTGCACTGTTGGTGGGAATGCAAACTGATGCAGCCCCTGGAAAACAGCATGGAGGTTTCACAAAAAGTTAAAAATAGAACTACCATATGATTCCCCCAATTGCACTACTAGGTATTTACCCAAAGAATACAAAAATACTAATTCAAAGGGATACATGATGTTTATAGCAGCATTATCTACAATGGCCAAATTATGGAAACAGCTCAAGTGTCCATCCACTGATGAATGGATAAAGAGGTGGCATGCACACACACAGCGGACTAGTACCCAGCCATAAAAAAGCCATAAAAAAGAATGGTCTTGCCATTTGCAATAACGTGGATGGAGCTAGAGAGTATTATGTTAAACGAAATAAGTGGGTCAGAGAAACAAATACCATATAATTTCAATGTTGAATTTAAGAAACAAAACAGATGAGCAAATGTTAAAAAAAAAAAAAGAAAGGCAAACCTAGAACCAGACTCTTAACTATGGAAAACAACCGGATGGTTATCAGAGGAGAGGTAGGTGGGGGGGGGAGGGGAATGGGTGAAATAGGTGATGGGGATGAAGGAGTGCACTTGCTGTGATGAGCACCGGGTGTTACATGGAAGTGCTGAATCACTAAATTGTACACCCGAAACTAATATTACGCTGTATATTAAGCAATTGGAATTTATTTATGTATTTATTTTTTTACTAACTGGAGTTTAAATAAAAACTTAAAAAACAACAAAAAAGCCCCCCAAAACCCCACGAATCTTTATGCTGTATATCTAAAACGAATAGGATGTTATACGTCAATTATATCTCAATTTAAAAAAATTGTATTCTTAAGCAGGTAAAGATGGCTTCTTTTCATTGACTCCAAAAGCCTTTCTTGTATATGGGCAGACACTTCAACATTTTCTAGGTCTCCCAATCATTTATACTTTCAAATTTTACCATCACTCTGGAACACGTTTAAAAAAAAAAAAAAAAGCCAAAGCAGGAACTCTCTAAAAGGCTAAAGTCAAATAAAATGAAGTTGTACTTGTCTTAGTTTTCTTCCAGATGGGCTTTCTTTGTGGAGGTGGAGAAGTGTCCAAGGGTTTTTCAGAATGTGAGCGGTCAACGCGTTAGAGAACGTTGGCCCCAGAAAGAAGAGGTCTTCTCTTTTCCTTTACTTGGTCTGCATCGTGGAGTCGCTAAAAAGCAAGCGCCTGGAAACACTGTCGCAGCGCAGGCCGGCATCCCCTCCTCGCCCAACTTCCCGCCCCTCCAGGCCCTCCCGGGAGCCTACCTGGACCCGCCTGCCGCGCCCGCCACCCCCCGGCCGTCGCCATGGCACCGCGCCGCCCCGCCCCCCGCCCGCCCGCAGCCCCGCTCGCCCCTCCCCCGCCCCGCGCTGCTGCGGGGGAGGGGGTGGGGCGGGAGGGAGGAGACGCAGGCGAGAGGAAATCGGCGGCGCGACGCCCGCGGCCCATTGGTTGCCTCGTCCTGGGGCCAGGAGCCCCGCCTCTCTGGCGGGGTCACGTGATCCCTTTCAAAGATGGCCGCCCTGTTGTTTTGATGAATAATACTTGGTGGGGCGAGGGGGTAAGAGTAGGGGTGGAGGGGTAGGAGGATTTACTCTTCCACCCGGAGCATCGCGAGTCCCGTCCTCCCCCTCCCCCCTGCCCGGGCTCCGGCGTGGAGGCGGGGCGTGGCCGGCCTGCTTTGGGAGGGGAGGGGCTTCCCTCTTCAGTGCTGGGCTCTGCTTCGGCGGCTCTGGGGTCGCCTTACCTCGGGGCATCCGCTCTGCAGTCAAACAGTTCCCGCCTGGGGCAAAGGGTAGGAAGGAGAGCAGGATCTGCTGGAGGAAGCGCACCTGCCGCGCCACCACCACGAAGACACAGCAGGCTCGGGGCACGAGACGAGCTGGAGACCCGAGTCCCTGGTCTGGGTAACCTGGGAAGCAGAGGGCAATAGTGGCGCCTTAAGATAACCCTGTAGAGCAGCAGCAGTGGCGGCCGAAGGAGGCTGCTCGGGGCACAAGCAGCTGTAGGAGTCTCTGGGGCGATTGGAGTGACCGACGCCAAGGCGGTTCAGTGCCTCTCGTGTTCTTATTTTTTAACCTCTGACTATGCAATTCTGAAACCTCCCCCATTCGGGGGACCAGACAGCCCGATAGACACCTTCCATTCTCCTCCCGCCCTGGTCTCAAGAACAGAAGGATCTCTCCCCAACGCCTTTCACCATTAAGAGGAAAGCGATGGAGGAGCTGAGCGCTGACGAGGTGAGGAGGTTGGGGGACACCTTGGGAGATTAGTTGGCAACTCTTTGGCGCTTTGGACAGGGATGGTATTGCGCCAGTGGTGCCTGGCCTTTGGGTTTGGGGAAGGAATGGACATGACATTTTCCAAGAATAAAATGAGTCCTTGAGAGGGTCTCCAATTGTATTCTCCTGTATTACCTTGCCTTCTTTCTTCGTTCTGAACTCCATTGGCTTCTTTTCGAGTCTTTTAGGGTCTGAAGAAGAGGAAAGCCTATTGAGGCGTTCATTCTTTTCCTCGGGGTGTTTAAGCAAGAAGGGCTAGATTTACATCAAGTTAAATGTGTGTGTGTGTGTGTGTGTGCGTGCACGCGCGCCTTACTGCAGAGATTTAAAGAATAATTTTGGGTGGAATTAGAATGTATGGGTGTATGTTTTTTAAAGGCAGTATTTGAAATCCCAAGTATGTGTGGCTGTTGCATCGTAGAAGTTGATTAAACATACGTTTGTGTTTGGGGGTGGCCTACAGATTCTTTGATATTTAACAAAATATATATCTTCTCAAAAGCCTAGTGAATTCCAGTTAAATTCTGTGATGTAACAAGTACTAATGACCCCTGGCATACTTCTCTCATTCAGCCTTTTTCTAGTTTTAGGCCCTTTCAACTTGTCTTTTGCTGTAGCAGACACTGAACAGGAAGCAAATGGTAGCAAATGACTTTGTAAACTCCCCCTGTTTTTATTTCTGAAAGGAGTTTTACAGATCTCTTTCTTGATGTTTTAAAGATTATTTAATAAGGTTGTCATAAAAACAGTGGCAATTAGGGTACAAGGAATTTTCTGTGATTCTACTCACTTTTCCCTTCCTTTTTACAAATGAGGAGCTACCCTTTCAGGACCCCTGCTGGCCTCCCTCTCTTCAGTCTACCTCCTCATTTCTTTCACTAGTTCATATAAAACTTCCCTACAGTACTATGAAAGTAGTCATCCATCAGGTTGGCTATGTACATGCTTCCGTTTTAGCTAGAGTAGTCAGTATATTTACTTAGGGACTAAAATTCTCCAGGGATGGGGCTTGCAAGTGTGGTGAGTTCAGATGTCAGGTGGGAAGGGAAACAATTTTTGTGGGTTGTGATGCTTGGCTATTTGGAGAGTCAGGATTGCTCATTCTGTGTTACTTTTTTTTCTCAAATACATCAGGAATGTAATCTAACTGAAATTAGAAGAATTCTAATTTCTTTCATTCCAGTTTCTTTCATTCCAGTAGGAACTCTCAAGAGATGCCCTTAAGGGACTTTGTTTTAGGTAGTTTTTAAAAATCTGCTCTCCCTTTCTTAATAGTAACTCTAATGGGTAAATTGAGGCAAAGAGTTTATGTTTTTTAGTAGTCCTTTGCTTCCAGAAATTACTTTTTTTCTTAACATTCTCTAAGTTGCTGCTGGTTTAGAGTTTTTACATACTTGATATTTCACTGAGAAATGGTCAAATCCTTAGCATAGAGACCATTTAAAGATACTGCATAATCTACACTGTGACACTTCACTTTAACCAGTCTTTGAGGAAGTTGTAACTTTTCGTGACTGTATAGGGACAAATGTAATCGTTGTGGAGGAGATCAGAAAAACATTTTTCAAGGTCAACCAAATATTGAAATAAATGTGAAAAATCACAATGACTAATATTAGATCAACATAAAATTACGTTTGACAATTAGGTGACCTGAACAAAGAGGAACAATTCAGTAACTGGTAATTCAGTCTCAGCAGAACCTAGAACAAATTAATGGGGTTTTTTTGTTTTGTTTTGTTTTTAATCCATTTCCTTAATTCTGGGATTAAGTGAACAGTTCTCAACAGAGCCATTTCCAGAGCTTTTGCCTTTGTATTGTTACTTGCTTGGTGGAAACTGTCACAGATATTGTAGGTGGTATTCATTTGGTTAGAAAATAAGACATTTCTCTTGCTGAAAATTCAAACATACATCTCAGTGTGAAAACAGGCAAGACAGTGATCTTTCCATCTAAATTAGGCAATTAGGTAAGGCAGAGTTTTATATTCGAACAAAATGAAAATGTCTGAGAATATAGTCCCTACAAAATAGAGGTTGGTATAACCAGACTGGTAGCTTTAGAAGATTTTAGATTATGGGTCCCTGTCATAGATCACCTGAAATTCTTACACTTAATTCTTTTGTGTGGAGTAGTTCTTTAAGTGCCATGTTGTTTGTTATTTATGTGGCACGTTACGGTGAGTTCATTGCTCTATGGAGCAGATCCATGACTAAGTTCATCCTCTTCAGGAACCTACATTCCAAGGCTTCATTATGTACATTACATTCAGTCTGTAGCCTACTCATGTGTTGTTCTTCCTATACCAAAATGATGCTATGAGTAGGGCAGGACAGGTATTTTAAACTGTTTTTCAACTGTGGTGATGAAATTGCATTGAAATGATTTGCTTTTTCCTCTTCTTTTTTTTTTTTGGCTTAATCTTCTTTATGACCTAGTTCATCTTCAAGATGGCTGGCTGGGATAGTTAGGGTGTGGTCAAGGTTTTAGAAGAGTGGTAAGTCTTCCTTCCCAAATGCAGAATATGTGACCTTGCGCTTTTTAGCAGTGTTCTCTAAGTGGAAAGGGACCAACATTTATTAACAGCCTTAGAAACCTGCTCGGTGCCAGGCACTTTACAACCATTGTCTCATTAAATACAACAGTGTGATCAAGAGGGTCCTTAAATTTTTCTTGTTTTATAGATGAGGCAACTGAGATTTAGGTTAACTGACTTGTCCATAGTGATCTGGCTTAGAAGTGGCAGAGTTGGAATTCAAACCTAAGGTGCCTGATCTAAAAACTGTTTTTACTACATTTTATTGCTTAACAACTGACAGTAAATTCACTGCAGCTTCCATATATATATCCTACTAACATGCTTGATCTACATAGTTTTTCTGTAGAAGTGTTGTTTCTCATGAATGCATTCATGATATGATCAAGTTTATAGTCTTTTTGGTACTATCCCTTCATCAGGCCTCTCCAAAATTGTTCACTCCACAAACATTTTTTTTTTTTAAGATGTGTTATCTCCGGCGATGTGTTAAGTTAGGTTAGGAGAAAGTCCTTTTTCTTTTTATTTATTTGTTTATTTTATTTTATTTTTTAAAGATTTTGTTTATTTATTTGAGAGAGAGAGAATGAGAGATGGAGAGCACGAGAGGGGAGGGGTCAGAGGGAGAAGCAGACTCCCTGCCGAGCAGGGAGCCCGATGTGGGACTCGATCCCGGGACTCCAGGATCATGACCTGAGCCGAAGGCAGTCGCCCAACCAACTGAGCCACCCAGGTGCCCCTTATTTGTTTATTTTAAAGATTTTATTTATTTGAGAGAGAGAATGAGAGAGAGAGAGAGCACAAGAGGGGGGAGCGGGAGAGGGAGAAGGAGACTCCCTGCTGAGCAGGGAGCCCGATGCAGGACTCGATCCCGGGACTCCAGGATCATGACCTGAGCCGAAGGCAGTCACTTAACCAACTGAGCCACCCAGGTGCCCTAGACAGTCCTTTTTTCTTAAAGAAATTGTAATTTAACTGGGGGGTGGGGGTAGAGATAGATAGAGGTAGGAGATCCAACAATTTCAATCCAGGGCTAAGTGCTGTTGTGGAGTGATTCACAAGACATTAAGAAAAACAAGAAGGGACCCCTGGTGGGGCAGTGCTGTAGTGAAGACTTTCAAGAAAAAGTGATGCTGAATGCTGAGCAGTAGTTGCCAGGTGACAGGCTCTTGGAAGTGGCTTTGAGGCTGGGGAGCCCAGGAAAAAAGCAAGAATGAGGGCCCAGAGGCAGGATTTTGCTAGGGGAGTGGCTGCAGGTAGGCAGGCACCAGATCTTGGAGGGTCTCAGAAGTACTTAGGAGTTTGAACTTTGTCAGTAAGACCATAAGGAGCCTTTGAGGAATGTGAAGGGGTTAGAAAGATGACTGGCAAGGTGTAAAAGTGGGTTGGAAGATGGTGGCTGCAGGCCGGGAGACAGATTAGGAGGCTCGTGTTGCTCTCTAGCAGCGAGGCAGTGGAGTCGAAGGAAGGCATTGGCAGTGGGGATGGAGGAGGGCAGACACCAGGAATATCGAGGATCTAAGTTAACCCACTTCTAATGATCAGATTGATGTAAAGGAGGCGGGGGTGGGAGAGGAGAGAAGAAGATGATTCCTTGGTTTCTAGCTTGAGAGAAGGAGGATGAGGAATTCCAGACAAGGAACAAGCAGATTTTTGGACCATTGAAAGATGAGCCAACGTAGAGACCCCCACCTCTGGCCTTTCTACTCTGACGTCTCCATCTTTTTGACCTTTTCTTTCTTTGTAACAGGCCTCAGAACCTAAGCTCACTCTTTTCCCAGTAGGTAATTGCTGCCACTCTATAACTAGGATTCCTTCTCAAGCCTTGTAGGGAAGTGGATGTAGCCTCCCACTTCGTTCTTCACCCTTTCTGTTCATCTTAGTCAAGAGACAGAGAACGATTATGATACCAGCTAACATTTATTGAGCATTTAATATGTGCTAAGCATTTAACTTGCTCAGCAAGGTTGGTAATGTCACCCCATTTTACAGATAAGAAAGTTGAGGCTGGTAGAAATTAACTAACTTGCTAAAAGACACACAGCTAGGAAGTGGCAGAGTCTGGATTCTTTCTAATCCAGAGTTTGATTTCAGAGTTCTTTTTTTTTTTTTTAAGATTTTATTTATTGGGCGCCTGGGTGGCTCAGTTGGTTAAGCGACTGCCTTCGGCTCAGGTCATGATCCCGGAGTCCTGGGATCGAGTCCCACATCGGGCTCCCTGCTCAGCAGGGAGTCTGCTTCTCCCTCTGACCCTCTTCCCTCTCGTGCTCTCTATCTCTCATTCTCTCTCTCTCGAATAAATAAATAAAATCTTAAAAAAAAAAAAGATTTTATTTATTTATTTGGGGGTGTATGGGTGGCTCAGTCGTTAAGCGTCTGCCTTCAGCTCAGGTCATGGTCCCAGGGTCCTGGGATTGAGTC